TGGCGTTTAGTCATGCCGGCCACATGACCACAGAAATGTCTTTGGACAGCGCTGGCTCTTCGGCTTTGAAACGGAGATGAGCACTGCAACCCTAGAGTCGGATTCGACTGGCTTTCGAGCAAGGGACCCTTTACCTTTACCTTTATCCAAAGAAAGGAAAGGTGAAGACAGAAGAGAGGGTCCTGAGATGTGAAGCTGGAGGGTCAAGCGACTTACCTGTGAGCTGGAATCCTGTGGTCTCCGGCAATGAGGAGAACATCACAGAGTTGCTTCTGCTGCAGATAACTCTCCATCTTGCGGAATGTCTGCTCTGCATGATTCGCAGAATGGAAATATTCGTCTGATCCGTTGGTGTTCACTCCTGAAGGAGGGGAGCAGCTGCTTATTGACACCCTGTTGGAGAACAGGGAAGAAATGAGGTCATTTACATGGTAGCTGGCCTCTGCAAATTGCTGTGCAGCCAAACCTGGGGGAGAAGAGCAAATGAATCGGACCTAAATGTTTTTCAAATTCTGTTTTTACCCTGAGTCACACTCAGGGATGTCTGCCAAATAACACTTCATTCTTGCCATTTACAATTATCAGATAATATTCTCGTGCAAAATTATTAACTCAGAATGGGGGAAACAATAGGAAAGCCATAAAGGTTTGGCAATAGAATTATAAGCACTCATTCACCCTAAATTCACTAAATGAATAAGAGTGCATGCCCCAGTGTGGTTTTAAAGTGTAATCCTAAACACAGTTACACCCTTCCAAGCCCACTGTCTTCTGTGCACTGAGAGTAATGTAACACTGCTTAAGACTGTACTGTTTATGCCTGGCATGCACCAGTCTTTAAAGAGTGTGCAGATAATAATTTTGCAGAAGGATATTTTAGAACTGTTATATTTCACCGCCATGAATGCAAGAATCTGGGAGGAACAATTTTGAATCAGGCCAAAGCTTCCCATGTTATTGCCTCCAGCAGCTGGAGTACTCAGTGGCAAACTGCCTCTGAACATGGAGGTTCCATTATGTCTTCATAGCTCACAGTCATTGCTGACAATCTATCCTTCATTAATGTCTCTGATCCACTTTTCAAGCTATCTAAGACCTGCTGTCGGCATGCAGCAGAACAATGTGGGGTTGGAGGTGGTAGGCAGGATGGGACCATTCAGACTACATGATTGTCAAAGACTCCCTACATTAATAACTCTCTGAAACTGGTAAACTGACACTGCATGTGAATCACTAGGCTTAACCTCTCCAGAGACATATATCAACTAGACTACATGTTGTGTTTTCTAACAAGCTTTCCCTGCAGCCAGAGGTCCACTTTGGCTCAGGACCACAGCATGTGGGGAGGAGGGACTTCTGCCTTCCCTCCACCATGATGTTTTCCTGAGCCAAAAGGGCCCCAGGAAGTCTTATTGCCCCATTTTGGAGTTGCACATGTATGGAATGCAGCACTTGCAGCCCTGCAGTAGGGCAAAAAATGCTTCTCCCAGGGCCATTCAGGATTTTTCTCCCAATATCCAGGGCCACCCAGCAAACTTCCATTGCACAAGCGGGGATTCAAACCCGGGTCTCCCAATTACTAATCCAACAACTCTTAACCAACCACACGTTGCCCTCTCAGCCAGTTTGGAGAGATTCTCTTGGATCTTGTGATCCTCTTCATAATCCACTTTAGTTTTTACCATCCTGAAAATTTAGTGATCTTGACTACATCACTGTTTACCCTGTTTCCAAATCATTTATGAATAAATTAAATAGTATTGATTCATATTTATTTATTACGATATTTATACCCCACCTTTCCCTTGCAGCTCAGAGTGGTTTATGATTCCAAAATAAAACCATACTCAATACAATGCGTATTTGGGCCTAATGAACCCCTCAACCCAAGAAAACGCATGCAGGTTAGACCCCATTAAAAGCCTTAGCAAACAAAGCAAACTGAATACAGCTCCCTGGGGAACTTCACTACTTACTTCCCTCCATTGTGAGAACCGTCTATATATTCCAGTCTTCTGCTTCCTGTTGTTTAACGATTTACTTCTCCATGAAATGATCTGGCCTCTTATTCCATCCCAGCTAAATTAACTCAAGAGTCTGCAGTAATGTACTTGGTTTAATGCTTTTTAGAAGTCTAACTATATAATATTTAACACATCGCCTTCATCTGCATTCTTATTAAGATTCTCAGTGAACTCTGAACTCTGGACATACAGTTTCTGAAGGCATATGTACAGTTTCAAGCAAATCCATTGTCTTTTAATAGTGTATGTATCCCTTCTCCAGCACTTTTGTTTTGTTTTGTTTTACCTTTCCTATGCTGTTTCATCCTGTCAATCTGTTGCCTTTGCTCCTCTGCCACTGCCTCTCTCTTCTCCTCTGTCTTTCCTTCTCTTTTGCCTTCTCCCTTCCTCATGGCCTTGCTCGCCTATCTGCACTACTGCTGGCTGCACCCTTCCACACTTCCTTTAGTGCTGCCACTATCTCCCTCACTCCCCCAGGCCCCTCTTCCTTTCCCCTCTGCCACACTGGCTCACCTGTCTGCCCCCCCCACCACCTGCCTGAGCTGCCCACCCCCCACTGCTTCCAGGCACTCAGGTTCAGCTGGCTCTTCCTTCCCTCCCCACCGATGGTGAGTTTACCATCACTTTATTTGTTTGGGGGGGGATTGAAAGTCCTCCTCCTTTTTGAAATGTTCACATTTTTTCTGCAAACTTAGGGGGAATCCCCCAAGTTCATAGAAATATGTGTTTTCTTTCTACATGGCTCCGGTTTGCAGATTTAAATATCCACAGATGGGACCATGTTGAGAATTAGATGTATTTATACATTTGAAAAGGTATCAAAATACCGATACTGGATCTCAGGGTCAAATTAAATGTTGCTCTTTTAAAGATTGAAGGTCAAAGAAGACGGGGACGGCAAAGGATGAGATGGTTAGACAGTGTCATAGATGCAACAAACATGAAATTGAGCCAGCTTCAGAGGACGGCGGAAGACAGGAAGGCCTGGCGTGATCTGGTCCATGGGGTCGCAAAGAGTCGGACTTGACTGTGCGACTGAACAACAGCAACTTTTAAAGAGTGGGTCTGGGTTACCTGGCCCCAACTCATGTTCCCCACAGCCATACAGCGGCTGCAGGGAATGACTTCTTTTACAAAGGAGAGCCCAAATGGGCTCAGAACGGAACCACTGGGGGAAGAAGGGCTTCTCTCAAGCCATTTTCCCACATGAAAACTGCCCTGGGGTGGGAGTTATTTCCATGATTTTTCTGCTCCATGTGCAGATTCTGTGCTTTTTAAAAACAGTAACATTAACTTTGTGCCACAATTAGCACTACACTAGTGCTAAAAGGGAAGCCAGTTCCACTACAGTACAGAAATTACCATCCGTCTGCCTCCTAAAAGATTTGCTCTCATTGCCTGAGAATGCTGGACTCCCTCTTCCACTCTCCCTCCCCAATTCTCAGTCAAAATGAGTTATCCTCAGAGCAGGCAGCTAACTGAGCATTTGACGGAAACTCATTATATGCTTTGGAATGCCCGTACATTGCAAACAGAGGGCCCCGACTATGTGGCTGCATTAGGAGATAAATACGGGAGACAAGAGCTCAAAAATGGAACTATTAGGTAAATAGCACCTCAAATTGCTGGCATTGCATTTTGGGCTGAAGATGACAGCATGCTAGTGTCGAAATTACATTACTTCTGAGGACAGAAACATCCTGGGGGCAGCGATATGTGTGGGGGTGGGGGTAATTATGCTGTTGATGTGGTTGTTTCAAAAATGGATCAGAAATGAAGACTCAGCACCATCTTGCCTCTCCCTCTAAAATCTGCTTTCTATCCCCCTCCTTGTACCCTGTCTTGCCACAAAACTGCATGGCATAAACATTAGCTTGCTTTCACCCCAAAACCACTGCAAGCCTTCTGTGCCATCTTCTCCTGTTTCCACTTCCATGCCTTCTTGTCAGGTTTTCATGTGCCTTGAACAACCTCCTCCCTGCTAATAATAAGACAATCTTTTCCCCTCCTTCTTAACAGAGCCAGCGTAGTGTAGTGGTTAAGAGTGGCGCACTCTCATCTGGAGAACCAAGTTTGATTCCTCACTCCTCCATAGGAAGCCTGCTGGGTGACCTTGGGCCAGTCACTATTCTCTCAGAACTCTCTTAGCCCCACCTACCTCACAAGGGTGCCTGCTGTGGGGAGAGAGGAAAGGAAGGTGATAGTAAGCCGCTCCAAGTCTCCTTAAGGTAGAGAAAAGTGGGGTATAAAAACCAACTCTTCTCCTTCTTCAGGCCTGATCTACACATGCAACCATATCAGGGTTAGAATACTAGGCCACTTCAGATGGGAAGGGCTATTTCTGAATGGTCCCATGTGTCTGTGTTTCTTTCTATAAAGGAAAAAGAACACAAGAAGGGACTTGCTAGTTTAGACCAGTTCCAGGATTCTGTTTCACACAGTGGCCAGCCAGCTGACCTGGAGGGCCAGTAGACAGGCATAAAGGCTAAGGATTTATGAATCAAATTAACCTCCCAAAGGATGAGATGGTTAGACAGTGTCATAGATGCAATGAACATGAAGTTGAGCAAACTTCAGAGGACGGTAGAAGACCGGAAGGCCTGGCACAGCGTGGTCCATGGGGTCGCGAAGAGTCGGACTCGACTGTGCGACTGAACAACAACAACCCCTCCCCTCCCCCATTGTTAGTGGGATCTTTCCTAATCCGGTGGTTTTCAGCCTATGCTCAGGGGAAACCTGGACTTCCTCAGAAGTGCACTAGGGGATCTTCAAGAAGACAAGCAATGATCTATAAGCTTCCCTGAAAGACATGTCCTTCATTGCTAATCTTTCCATGCAGTGTGCAGCTACAGAGGAGTACTGGCCATGTTCTAACCCCTGTTCCTGATTTACGGAAGAACAGCAGTGTGGTCTAACGGACCAGCATTTGCCCTTCATGAGCTAAGCATTGCATTTGACAACGCACGCCAGAACATCCTGCAACATGGTGAGTTCCATGACAGACGCGTCAAGTGAAAGGGGTCGTCTGAAGGTACCAAGTTTGAAATCACGAATTACTCCAAGGGGCAGCAGGTACTGCCCCCCCCCTCAATATTTTCTGCTATCCCTTTGACCCTGCTAATTCTCAGTTGTATTGAGTGGCTTAAGACGTTAGAAAGCCTGCAGATAGTTAAAGAGGCCTCTTTCATGCCAATCCTTCTTTTGGAAGCTCTGGAAGAAGGAGTGACCCTTGGAGCCACAATCATCAACATGGAGTGGAATTTTCTCTTGGTCTGTAAATGTCATAGGAAGTTTATGCTGCCATCTCTTTTAGCAGCATGAAATAGCCATCATTTTCACAACACGCTTATGAGCCTTCTAGAGGCATTT